GAGTGGAGCCTAGAGATGCCAGACAGACCCTCGGTTTCCCCCTTGGCTGAATCAGATGGCAGCAGATCTGCCAGCCAGCCAGGGTAGACCCAGGGTGGCCCTATCTGAGCTGGGCCCTGCCTGTGGAGTCTTGGGCAAGCATGACCAGTCCCCCAGGAACCAGGAGGGAGCCCCGGACCTGGCTGGAGGGGCAGGGCTCTGAGCCCCACCCTGGGCCTTGGCAGTGTTTCTTCCTTTCACTTGGTACCTACTGGCTCCCTTGGGACTTAGGCAAGCAGCCCTGCAGTGCCAGAAAGAGAGTGGGCAGAGCAGGGTAAGGGAAGGAGCACTGTTCGGGGAATCAGGAATTCTGGATTATGTCCTGACTCTGCCCCTGACTTCTACTGAGGGAGGGCAGCTTCGTCTCTCTGGGCCTTGGTCTCTATCTGTACGGGGCATGGGCTGTCAGGGTCCTTCCAGCCCTTACGCAGGCCAGAGAACATAAGGCGGAGGTACAGAAGTCACCCAGACCCTACATGGGTAAGTCCTGTCACATCTCTGCAAAATAGGCAATGACTGAACCCATCATTGTGTTGTATGTGTTGTAAGGTATAAATTGTGCAGTATGCTTAGCATGGGGCCTGGCTCTAAAGCAGAAATAACTATTTTTCATATTTTTGGAGTCAGTGAAGGGACATCTTGTCCCCATATTTCTTAGGAGGAAGTGGAGGCCCCAGTGAGGAAAAGACCTGACATAAACACTCCTAACCAACAGCTGGACTTGAACTTGGGTCCTCTAACTGCAGGCTGTGCTGTGCTGACGTCGGCCCAGCAGCCACGGTCCTCTGTCGCCTGGCTCCCGGCTTCCTTCTGCTCTGCAAGCAGTGCCTCCTATGTGGGACCCCCCAGGGGACAGTGCTGCTCCCTGACCCCTGACTTCTCTCCCAAGCGTAAGCCTGGCGTTACTTACTGCCGTTAATTAACCAAATCACCCTCCACCTAGACCCTCTGCAGGATCATTTCTCTCTTGGCCCACTTTCCACCGATTCTGCCCCCCATGCTCACTGCCCTTAGTGGGACAGGCCTCGTGGGGACCCTTCCGATGGCACGTTTTCTGTGGTACCTGCCCAGGCCCTGCAGGACCCTGAGGCGCTCAGGCATGTGCATGTGAATGTGTGCGTGTGGGCTGTGCAAGGTGGGTTGTGAGTGGGCTGGCACAGGGCTACCCAGGGCTCTGATGCCCCCCGACACCCATCTGTCAGGAACAGTCCCCCCATGCAATCATGGGCTCATTCTCTCCGAGTCCCAGAGGCAGGCGTGGCTCCCCGCTGCCAGCCGCCACCAGTCGCAGCTGGGGAGGCAGTGAGCTGGCTGTCATGTGGGGCTGTGGTCACATTCAGGATGGGGGCGCTGTCCGAGGCAGTGCCCGCCCCCCTGAGCTAAGCTCTCAAAGGTTCCAAGCGGGTGTATGCGTAAGAGAGAGTTGCCAAGGAGACCTTTTGGTCTTCTCCCTACTCTCCAGCCATCTCTCTGGCACCAGGTCCTGCGTGTCGTGTCCCACCCCCGTGCACAGGGTCTGGGCCAGCGAGGGAGAGAAGAGGCAGGAGGGAGAGAGGTAGAAATAAGAAAGGAGGTGAAAAGGCACCAGAAGGATAGGGAGGATTGAGAAGAAAGCGCTCAAGGGAAGGGGGAAAGCGGGGAAAGGTGGGACAGAGAAAAAGGAGAAGAGAAAGGGGGGCTGAAAGAGGAGACAGAGTAGGGAAGGAAGACAGACTGGGGTGGGGGGCAGAACGGAGTGGTACGGGGCCAGGTTGCCCTTGCTCCCTGAAGCCACATAGGCCACCTCCATGGCCGCTGTCCGAGACAGGGAGAGAGCTGGCCATTAGCCTCTGTCCCTCTCTGTCCCTCTAGCTCTTCCAGTGACCTGAGGGCATGACCTCCCGCCCTCCCACCAGGTGCTCTGCTTTCTACGTGCCTCTCTTCACCAGTGGGGGCTGGTTATGGGGCCCGCCAAGCCACAGCAGGGTGGTCAGGCCCGCTCCCAGCGGAGCAGGACTTTCACCTCCTTTGTTCAGAACTTCAAACACTCATTCATACAGCCTCGGGGCATATTTTGTCATTTGTTTTATGTGTTAATTTCTAAAGCCTCTTTAAGTGAGCTAGGGGTCCTGTGAGCCCTCTCCTCCAAGCCCCAGTCCTTTTTTTTTTTTTAAACATTTTATTTATTTATTTGACAGAGACACACAGCGAGAGAGGGAACACAAGCAGGGGCAGTGGGAGAGGGAGAAGCAGGCCTCCCGCGGAGCAGGCAGCCCGATGCGGGGCTCGATCCCAGGACCCCGGGACCATGACCTGAGCCGAAGGCAGATGCTTAACAACTGAGCCACCCAGGCGCCCCCCCCCCCCCCAGTCCTTTGTTCTACAGGCATTGCTGCCACCCAGGCTGGGGCCAGGTGACTCTCAAACCAGGAGCTCAACTCCAGTGGGGACTCAGAGAACATCACCGGCACCAAAGTGCTAGGAACAAGGATGGTGGTGCGTGCTTCCAGGATTCAGACAGAGCAGTGTGAGGAGGGAAGGCTTCTGAGTCTCTTACTAGTAATAATTTCCCATCTCTGAGCACTCACAGTGTGTCAGCTGCTGTGCTGTGCTCACCTGCTCGTCTCATTTCATCCTTAAACAGCCCTGGAGGTAGGGAATATTAGTAACTCTATTTTGCAGATGAAGAAACTGAGGCACAGAGAAGTAAGGCTCCTCATCCAAAATCGCACAGCCCATAGATGGTGGAGTCCTCCTCTCCCCTGGACAGTGACTGAGGTGGCCTCAGCGGTCACTAAGGGCTGTGGCAGCGCCTTCACGAGTGGACGCCATCTCCTGGGAAGGGCTAGAGGGTCTGGGCGGGGAGTTGGCCGTGCAGTCCTTCCCCCACTTCCCCGCATCTGCCTCTCGCCTCTGGCGGCTTTCCGCTTTCCGTGCCCAGCCCGCTCCCACCAGCTGTGCAGCCCCCGAGCAAAGGCCTCTCTTCTCTGTCTCTGAATTGCAACGTTGGCGGCAGGAGCGGGAAGCATATTGTGCGCAGAAACAAAACGGAGTGGTTTTTCCTTTTTCTGAAGGTGGTAATGGTGCAATTAGTGGCTAAGCCATTACCCCTCCTCCCTAGCTCGCCTCCCCTCCTTCCCCTCGGCCTCCCTCCTGTTTCTCTCCTGGGAAGAAGTGGCTGCATCCTGCGTTGGAGAGCCAACCCCATCATTCTGTTACCCCTGATGCCCAGGAAGAGGGGCTGAATTGTGGGAGAGGGTACCCAGATGTCTCCAGGGGTCCCTGGGCCCAAGGTAGTGAGTCAGGGACCTGCCAGCGTTCGGGATTACCAACCAGCAGACAATATGTCCAGCAAGTGAGGTGACCAGTAAGGCAATTGAAAGGTTCAGAGGGGTGGGTTAGCAGCTCAGAAGGTTGGGATCCTGGATCCTTTTATCCCACCGGGGCTCCTCGTGGGCAAATACTGGCATGAGACCTCAGCCTGGTGGGCTGTGAAATGAGCTTGAGTGGAGGAGGTGGGTGTGAAATTCTGAGTCCAAGCTAGAGTGATGGGGGTGGCCATGGTCCCGCTTTAGACCTTCCTTTTCCTCTTCCAGAAACTAAAAAGAGGCCTCATGTTTACATACTTCCCAAAGGCTTCCACAGCCCTTAGCCCACTCCTTCTTCACAGCCTTCCTCTGCAGTGGCAGCTTTGTTCTGTTTTGCAGAAAGGGCGCTGGAGGCTCAGAGAAGGGCAGTGACTTTCCCAGGGTCACACAGCTCATGAACGTCAGAGCTGGAGTTGAACTCAGATCTTTAAACTCCAGCCCTTTTCCTTCCGAACACCCCCCCCTCCGCCAGGGCTTGGGTGAGATCTTGGGGCCATGGATCTGGCTGCTGCCCTGAAGAGTTGAACTTGGCGGGGAAAATGGGAATGAGGAAGAGGGAATGAGGATTTCAGGGCAGGCCCATGGCCACTCCCCTCCATGCCAGGCCATGCTTCCCTCCCCACTGCCGCCTCCGCCTCTTTCACCTTGACTTGAAGCACAAGCAGAAACTGGGACATGAGCCCCAGGAGACCAGATCTCCCTGGTCCCTCTGGGGGCACGGGATGGAGGCGAGGGGTGGGGGTGAGCAGGCAGGCAGGGCCATTCTCTCCAGAATCCCGATGTCTCCTCTGCACTTGTCCCTCAAGCTAGAGCGCCAGTGGGATGGACAAGGTGACAGAGAATGAGGAAGACAGAGGCAGAGGCAGAAACGAAATACAGAGGGGAGCAGAGAGACAGTTACAGACTACAATGATCCACTGGGAGAGAGATCCCAATGAATTAGCCATCGCTTCCTGTAAACCTTAGAACCCTGCTGTTGCCAGGGCAACGGGGCAATACCTGTCTCTCCAGAGGAGATGAAGTTGCCAGGGTAACTGCATCCTGTCTTTCCTGGGGACCATCCCAGAATGTGGCACCCACTGGCCGTTACCATGGCAACTGCCTTTTTGCCCCACTTAATCCCATCCTGTCTGCTACAGGGGACCCACAGTTGGAGGTGGGGGAGGTGGGAAGAGAGAAGATCACTTGTGGATTAAGTTTGTTCTTCTCCCCCTCCCCAGACCCTTCTGTCAGTCCAACACCCCGGGGGTGCCGTGTCCACCTGCCCCTGGGCCCACACAGGCCTGCAGTATTGTGTGTGGTTAGGTCCAGGGCGTCCCGGAGCAGGTTTCGCAGTGGAAGGCAGGCAGGTGTTGGGGGGGCAGTTACCCGGGCAACGGGAACAGGGCGTTTCGGAGGTGGTTGCCATGGGGACCTGGATGCTGACGAAGGCTCGCGAGGCTGTGAGCAGCCACAGTGCCCTGCTCAGAAGCCCCGGGCTCGTCAGTCAAGCTGGTTCTCGGTTCGCATTCGGCAGCACAGGCCCGCGAGTGGCCCCTAGTTCCAGGAGCAGAGTAGCAGAGCCCCAGGTCTGGTCCTCCAGCCCCACGCCTCGCCTGCCCGCCCAGCGCCAGGATGGCCACCATCACCTGCACCCGCTTCACGGAAGAGTACCAGCTCTTTGAGGAACTGGGAAAGTGAGTTGCACCTCAGAGAGTTCTGGAGGGTGCAGGGGGTCAGCGTCACGGGCAGGGGATGTGCACCTGCGTGCTTCCTGTGCACACACACAGGGAGGAAGTCTGCATGTTTGGGGGGATACTTGCCTGTGCCGAGTGCCCAGAGCTGGGTGTAGGCATGTTTATGTGTGCACAGATGTGCCACAGTCAGCCGGGTGAGTGTGTGTAGGGGTGAAGGGTTGGTGGTGCATGCCAGTGTGCAGGCACACACACACACACACACACACACACACCTGATTGCACATGACTGGGCACACACAGATTTTTAGAAACTCAGGGTTAAAAAGGGATCTTCCAAGGCAGCCGAGTCCAAAGCCAGAACCCCCTGCCGACTTTCTCTTGAGGTGTTCATCTGGCCTCAACTTGGACACCTCTGACGGGAGAGAGTTCACCATCTCCCAGGTAGTCCCCCCTGACTTTAGGCACCACCGGCGACTGTGCAAGAGTGGCCAACTTCTCCGTGAAAGCACATGCCCTCCCTCATCCCCTCTCTCCTCCCTGCTCCTCTTGGAGGGAGGGCATCAGTACAGCAGAGCTGAATAACTGAGGGACTGGTGGGGCTCCCTGGGTGTGGAGAGACGGGGGGGCACTCAGGCAAGTTGGGGGGAACACTACCATTTCAGGGCTAGTGCTATACCAGCTCTGGTCCCTTGGCAAAGTTGTCTGGCCCCAGAGCTCATTTTATGCCCCTGACGACCGGTGTGGGGAGAAGGGTGGGAGGGTGGGGGAGAAGATAGCCCCTTAGCGTCGTGGAGTGTCAGGAAGCGCACTGGACACCCCCGGCTAGGTCTGGGGAGGCTCCGGGGATGGCTCAGGGGAGGGGTACAGTTTGGAGGCAGAGCTCGCCCCTTGGGGAAAGCAGCTCCCCTGCCCAGGGTGGCCATTGCTAGGGCAGCAGGAGTGCAGGGGAGAAGGGCCCTGGTAGCAGGTACGTGCCAGTGTGAGGTCTGGATGTACACATACAAAGGTGCATTTTGATGGGTGCTGTGTAAGGGCTGACTCCAGGGTACACTTGTGTGCTCTGAGAGAGTATGCAAGTGTTCACATGTGTGCACCAGGAGGAGGTGCTGGTGTGTGCCTCATGTGGAAGGCCTGCAAGTGTGGATGTGTGCAAGGGGCCCACGGGGTCCCATTGGCCGGTTTGCATGGGAGTGCAGGTGTGAATGTGCGTCACTGTGTGTGCACATGTATGGCAGGTCAGAGCTGTGTGCACATCAGCAGGAGGATGTGTGTGAGGTCTGGGTCTGTGCAAATATATATCTGTGTAAGGGTGCATGTGTGGGACTTGGGCACGGTGGTATCCCTATGAGGTTCGGACATGCACATTTGCATGAGGATGGGGAGGCATGCACACGGGAAGGTTTATGTGCATGCGTGTGAGGCCTGGGCCAAAGGCTCGGGTGGGGGTGTGGGTGTTGAAGGCATGTGTGAGCTCATGCTGGTGTCTGCATATGTGTGGGAGGTGGGCCTGTGGCTGTGTACAAGTAGGTTGCCTGCACACACACACACACACACACACTCACATACCAGGCTATCCTGACACTCACAGGTACACACCAGGTCCCTTGTACAGACATACACCCACGTGCAGGTGTGTGGTCACTCTTGTCTGCAGACTTCCTGTGTTTCTGAGTGTGTTTCTATGCTGGGTGGGCAGCAGGCACGAGGCCGCTCCAGAGGACCGACCCTGTCTGCTAAAGGGTGATGGGCCCCTGCTCGGCGGGGTTCCTGTGCCCCCCTGGAATGCCAGGATTCCCCCATTAGCTAGGAGCTGCCCTTCAGGGGATGACCAAGGCTCGGTGCTGGGAGGACTGCGTCACAGGTGCAGTGAAATGGAGTTGAGATGTGACTCAGGCGCTTCAAGTGAAAATAAAAGTGATGTTTTGCCCCAAGAGGAGATGGATATCATGAAGACTGGGAGCTGGGGGCGGGTGGGGTGGGGTGGTGGTGACTTGGCGCAGAGAGCCTTCGTGAGCCTTCTCAACCCGACTGCCGGCCAGGACCGGGGCAGGGGCAGAATTCCAGGGGACGGGGAGCCCTGGTGTGGCCATGACAGGCAAACCGAGGGTGGTAGGCATGGCCAGTCCGTGTCGGATCAATTTCAGACCTCTTCCTTCTAGAACCATATGGACTCCTAACCTTTTTTAGGTCGCATATTCCTCCAGGAATCTAATGAAAGTCCAAGTCTACATTCTCCAGAGAAATGCACAAATCTATGAAATATTGCGGGCAATGTCAGGAGCTTGCAGAACCTTAGGAAGGCTGTGGATGGGCCTAGGGTGAAGGATGCTTGTACCGGAAGAGAATGAGGCTCCATGCCTCTGATGCAGGGGTTAAAAAGACCAGGTTACATTGCGGAGCAGCCGGGGCTCCTGCTCTGCACTCCAGGCGCCCAGTGGGGCAGGTAGGGGCGGCGCCCCGCACACGGCCCAGGCTCTGGAGCTTGCCACCCATAGCTCTGTGACACTGGCCACACAACGCACCCTTTCCCCCATAGTCTGGAAATAAAAGCAATTGCTGTGGGGATGCAGTAAGATGGCACGTGTGAAGACACAGTGACAACCCTGGCACACAGTGGGCCTTCAGCAGGGACTGCTGCTGGGATCATTGTTCTCCAAGGTGAGGCAGGCTGAAGCTGACGGCTGGGGCCTGCTACACGTTTACCTTTTGTCTGGAGCTGACCCAGCTTGGGGGAGGGGCCTGACCGGGCTCCTCTTCTTTGGGGAGAAGCCAGGAAGATGCCTGCAGGGCCCAGCCTTCCACTGTGGACCCACAGTCCCGGCCGGCTGGGACACTGCAGTCACCACCCACAACCTGAGCCCCCATTCCAGGAGCCCACTCCAGATCCCTGGCAAGGTCACTTGCCAAGGCAGCTGGGGCGGTCCTGCAAGGGGACATCGGAGCCTTTGGACGTCCTTCTGCAGGACTCTGGGCTGCCCGGCTGGAGAGGAGAGCATGTGCCTCTCGAGGGCTCCCTGGCATCCTACTCGGTGAGCCTGCCTGGTGACTGCAGGCCTTCTAGGAGGTCAGGGTAGGGCTGGCTACGGATGTAAGAGCAGCTGCCCCTCTCCCACCTGGGGGGCACCAGCTGGGCGGGGTGTGGGCCCGAGTCCCCAGGGCCCTGGGCAGGGGCTTCTGGGGCCCCTCAGTGCTACTGGACAAAGGTCTCACTCTGCATGGGGTTCAGATAAGCCAGGATCTTGATTCCAGTTCCCCTAGAAGGTTGAGGTAGAACCCAGAGACTGGCTCACTCACTCCTCCCTGACCCCCACCGTCCTTCCTCCCAGGAGATGCGAGAAATAAAAGCCCAGACCTTCGGAGCACAGGAGCTTGTCGGGAGGCCGGCTGTAGTAATGGCAGCTTCAGGGTCAGAGTGGGTCTGGGCAGCTGAGCCCGAGCTCCTGGCAGAACCCACCTTCCACAAAGACCAGATTGGAGGGGGAAGGGGTCAGGTTCCAGGAGCTGTCTCCTCCAGCCTTTGACATTCTCTGGGTTTTGGATCCCACTTCCAGGAGAGGGTAGGGAGGCAGAGAATTGCCCGGCAGCCTGTGTAATCACTGAGTGGTACAGAAGGAGATTTTACTTGAGAGAGGAGGAGGGAGGGAGGAAGCCTGGATAGAGTGCGGCCCGCCTTTCTCTAGAAACTGGGATCTGAAATCAACTCAAGGGCAGTGTTGGGCTGGGGGGAGGGGCTCTAGGGGCCAGCCAGGTGGGCAGAGGGGTGGGTGAGAGCTGGCTCCGGAGCCCCCTGCCCCCTCTTACCCCCATGGTGTGTATCAGGAACTGGGCCTGGGCCAGGGGACATGGGGCCCAGAGGCTGTTCCCCACACTGAGGTACCAGGGTCCTGGGTGCCGAGGTTCCCTCACGGGATACAAGCCCTACCATCTGCCGAGTGTGTTCAGCAATCCCAGCCTTCCCTGGCTGAGCAGTCAGGAAGCTCGGTGGGGCAATGTTGGGGAGAGAGAACACCTGGGCTCCCACACACCGCCCGAAGATGGGGGCGTGCTTTCATTTTGCTTCTAATAGCCTCTCACATTCACAGAGCTTTGGGGCCAGTGAGACACCTCTCCAGCCATTAGCTCTGAGGGAGGCAGAGGGCTTACGCATCCATCTGACAGAGGAGCAGGCTGAGGCTGGAGAAGGTGGAAGGGCCAGCGTGCAAGCATCCAGCACCCTGCATATGGGGGGCGACAGTTCATGAGAGGGACCCCGCTTGCTGCCGTGTCTGAGGAGCGCTACTAGGGAAGAGGGCCCGCCGCCTTCTGGGTAAGAGAATTCTGACCCTGAGGCTTATTTTCCAATCATGACTCTGCCTCTGATTTACTGGGCCGCCCCGTGTGGATCCGTGGGCCTTTGTGAACCCCAACTTTACCATCTATGAAATGGGGATCAGAATAACTCGGCAGATGCTGAAATGCCCCATTAGAGCTACCCTCTTTAGCTTCCCTCTACGGAAGGCACACTTGGGAAATTTCAGACTCCCAGAACATCAGAACTGAAGGACCAATACACTGTCTGTTTATAACCTAGATGGTGAAACCAACACCCAGAGAGAAAGAGTCCCAGGCCATAGGGAAAGGCTGTGTTAAAGCCAAGGCAGGGGACCAGATCCTGGGCAGGGGCCAAAGGCCAAGGATGGGATGCTGGGGGCGGTGGGGGGGAGGTCCTCAAGGCTGGGGGGAAGGTGGCAGGAACAGGGAAGGGGACAGACTTTCCTTCCTCCCCCTCCAAGCCATCCGAGCGGCAGGCACGCACATGTTCTGGTGCATGCCGCAGCCCTCCGCCCCCACACAGCCACCCCCACACAGGCTGAGACACACTGACACTCTGCCGAGCCTCCCTCCTGCCCGCCCGCCTCCCCACACAAGCACGCAGTGACACTGCTTCCAGCACCCCTGCAGTCTGGGTGCCCGGCCTTCTCCGGGCGGTGAGGGCCCAGAGCCTCGGAATGCAAAGCCTG